TAGGCTCATCAACGTGTACGCCCCCCGGAGAAGAACGCGCGGCTGGAACTTTTCCAAACCCTGCGGACGCAACTCGCCACAACGAGAACAGTAGTAATCGGCGGTGATTTTAACTGTCCGATAGAGGAGGATGGGCGCAGCTCCAGCATGTACGCAAAACTCGACACCACCTCGAAGCTGCTCCGGGAGATGATTGCGGAGGCTTCCCTGCGAGACGCAGTGGGATCCGTGGGGCGCGGTTCCGTGAATTACTCATGGAGCCGCCCCGATGGATCTGTGCGCTCCAGGATTGACTTTGTGCTCACCTCCAGGGCAGTCAGGCACCGCGGGTTCTCCATGGTTCCCTGCTTTTTCTCTGACCACAGGGCCATTCACTTTCAAGGTGATCTGGGAGAGGGCTTTGCCCCGGGCCCAGGCTCCTGGAAGCTGAATTGCACCCTGCTGGACGATGAGGAACTGCTAGAGGAGCTCAGGGAAACCTACGGTGCCTGGCGAGAGGAGAAGTCTTTCTTTCCTAAGGTAAGCGACTGGTGGGAGTTCGTGAAAGTCAAGCTGCGCAGCTTCTTTCAGGCCAGGGGACGCCAGCAAGTGTGTGCCAGGAGGAAGGAACTAAGGAGGCTGCAGCGTCAGCTGCAGTCCCTGCAGGACCTTCATCACTGTGGCTGGGACGTGAGGCAAGACCTGGAGGACACCAAGAAGTGCTTGAAAAAGCACTTTGAGGAAGAATCCAGGCACATTGTCTTCCGTGCCAAGGTGGAGCATCTCGAGAAAGGTGAGAAGTGTAACTCTTTCTTTTTCAGGAAACTCCACTCAGGACACACACCCCTGTCTGAGCTGCGTGACAAGACCGGAACACTCCAGAAGGGGAAGGAGGCCGTGATGGAAGTGGTCAGCGACTACTACTCCGACCTCTACTCCCCCAAAGAAACAAACTCGGAAGCGGCCGACAGGTTCTTGTCAGGTATCTCTAACGCTATTGATCCTGCAGGTTTGTCGGCCACCAACGCCCCCTTGACGTTGGAGGAACTGCACTCTGCCGCTAAATCCTTTAGGCAAGGCAGGACCCCCGGGCTGCGACGGTCTCCCAGCGGAGCTCTATGTAGCGCTGTGGGACCTCGTGGGCCCGGACCTGCTCGAGCTGTACGAGGAGATGGTGGTGGAGGGCAAGATGCCTCCTTCGTTGAGGGAGGGGATGATCACGATCCTGTACAAGCGTAAGGGGGAGAGATGTGATTTGAAAAATTGGCGTCCCATCTCTCTCCTGAACGTGGACTACAAGATCCTCGCCAAAGTCATGGCGAACAGGCTGAAGGCTGTCATCGGACAGATCATCAACCCGGATCAGACTTGTGGCATTCCTGGCCGCAGGATTGCGGACAGCCTAGCGCTTGTCCGGGACACGGTCCAATACATCAAGGACCGCCGTGTGCACGCGGCCCTGGTCAGTCTTGATCAGGAAAAGGCCTTTGACCGTGTCTCCCATGGGTTTATGTACAGCAGGGAAGGAGTGGCCCAGCTAAAAGGCCTGGTGGCAGCCACCAACCCATCAGCGGTACAGGAGAGGATCTGAGTGAGTACCCCTGCACCCCTTAGGCAGATAGGGGAGGGAGCACTCTGGTAGGAAACCAGATTCGCTACCCACTTGGGACTGTCCATTTCTTAAAGCGGTAGGCACTGGATCCCTTGTTCGGGGATATCTCCAGATGGCTGGGTGAAGGAAGAAGAGTTCATCTAGGATCTGGGGTGGTACATTAAGGAGATGCTGGCTAGCTCTCCAACAGGGTCTGTGTTGCAGTGAAGGTATGTAAATAGCTCCAGGAAGTTGTCCACAGTTCATCAGTTTCCTTGGGTATCCTGTACACACCTAACCCTATCCCAGTTCAAATCCCCTAAATAAAAACCAAAACCAAAGCTCAAGGACTGATTTCTGACTCTGGATGCAAGCCTGTGTGAAGATGCGTGTTGCCTGGCTATGCAGGACTATAATGGGACCCAAATCTCTAGCATCTCGTAATAGTACTTCTGGAATAAGTAGTGCTTACATGTCATTTGACCAATGCTCAATCCAGGAGGAAGGACCACCCATCGCTGCCAACGGAGAAGTAGAAGAGATATAAAAAAAAACCTTTTGGGAGAGAAGGCAAATATAGGGAAACACATAAGTGGGAGTTCAACTTTCAGATTTTTATATGTTGGTTGCAGTGCATAACAGTTGCCAAGGGGCCCCTGTGCAAAACCACTTTTAGTCCAGCAATGTAACTACTGACCAAAACCTATTGACTGTGTACTGATTGACACACAGATAGAAGTGAGGGGTGTCCAAGTCTATGAGAAACTGGTATCCCAACACCCATCTGACATAAATCTAGCAAAAACAGACCCTTAAGCCCTAGAGGGTCCTTCACAATCTGCATGGGCTGGATACTGTTCCCTGTATGGGTTCTACCCTAGGGGAAAAGAAAGTGACAAATGTATGTTGTCACTGTGTCACTAAAATGTTCTGTGTCCACCAGTGTCCTTCATTTCAAAGTTTACGGCGGTCTGCACAGAATTTTGTATCAGACTTTAGCTTTCAAGGACCAGAGGAACTGGAGCATCAGGTGGCTTTGATTAATATAATTCCAGTGACTATTCATTTCGAGGAGTCACAGACAGTTCGACTGGAACCATGTCATAAGCAATTTAAATTTTAAAAGTGGAAGCATTAAGAGGATTTGGGAAAGACATATTATCTAAAACAGATGCTATTTAAAAATACAGTTTAGCTATGGGTCATATTTTATTTATGTTATAAAGAGACAGTTGTGTCCCGGCCAGAGGCGGACTGACCATTTGGAAACTCGGGCATTGCCCGAGGGCCCGGGGTCAGTAGGGGGGCCCCATGAGATGCCCCTGGTACCTTTTTCATAGGCTTTTTGAGTTTGGTCAAGGACACAGGGGCCCCATGATCCCCTATTGCCCGGGGGCCCCATGAGTTGTCAGTCCGCCCCTGGTCCCAGCTACAGAGAGTAGTTTTTATTTTAGTTTACTGCCGCTTGAGTCCCCATTGGGGAAATTTCCTCTTACTCCCTGTCCCAGTGACAGGTGGTCACTTGGACACGTAGGGGTTCATTTACAGAAACTGGAGTGCAAAATTCGGTGGAGCTCTACATTGATCTACATATAAAGCAATCATCTTTCGGGTTTGTTTGTTTTTTTTTCGTCAAAGCCTAATTGAAAAAGCTGACGTTAGAAGCTGATTGGCTAATTTTGCACTCTATAGTTTTAGTAAATGAACCCCATAATTTCTGCATCTGGAAACAGAGACAACCACAGCAAATACATTTTTTTATTTGCTATCTGTACATGTCTGTGAAGAAATATCATTTGACTAGAGTTTGGCTTAAAATAAAATTTGTAAAAAAGTGAATTAACACACACTGAATTCAGTTTTGAGATTAATAGCCAGTTTAATTTCATTTGCCTTTTGATGTGTAGTAAAATGACTATTTTGTGATCCTGTAGGTAGCTATTCCCTCCAGTTTTCACTAAGGTTTCCAGGCTCTTCCAGGAATATTTTATCTGCATAAATCTCTTTTCTGCTGTAGAATCATCTTGGGTATAAACAGTGCTATTACTTTTGATGTAATGTTTGTGGATGGGGCTTACTGTACCCATGTGGGGCCCAGGGAGAGCGCCCCCAAAGGCAAGCTGAGGCTACTGTTTAATGCAAGGTTGTCATTAAGGCAGCACTCCAACTTAAAAGCCATGCTTCTCCATAGAGAACACAATTAACTCCTTGTAATCTGTGGCCCAACTTTTGAACTCTTCACAATGTTCATTTTAGACATCTGTTCCTCATTACACTCTATGCACAATGGATAACAGTTCATCAATGCACTTTGTACTCATCTCTCACTTTTGATGTGCCGATACTTCTGAACCTCACTCCCAGTGACATTGATTCATATGTTCACTTGAATGCTAGGAAGCTGTACTCTGTATGCAACCTTACTTTCTCCTGAAGCCTCACTTCATCTTCCTTGACTCCCAAGCTGGGTCCCTATGGTGCGGCAATGTTGAACCTAATATTGGGGGTTCCGGTTGCCGGGGAAGAAGCCTAAACACACAAGCACCTTCACTACCAGGGCCGCTGTCAACTTTGCCAAATCACTGCTTCCCAACCAAATGGCTGCCAATACACCAATACTAGTACTGTAATTATTTGTAATCTCAAAATAGCCTCCTATGCAGACATTTGTACTGCATCTTCTCTATCTCATTTTGTCCCCTTCTTAAGCCCTGTTCTTTGTCATATGCCACACATGCATTGCACCCCTTTAAGTGCCTCCTCAAGTAACTTCAGACCAGGCCAAGCAATAAACTTTACTGAAGTTGTTGAAAAGTAACAAAACATTTTATACAGTATCTTCAATATACTGTACATAACTGTACATGTTCTGTTAGGTGCCCCATAGCTGTACTTCTGGTGCCCCTAAATGCCAATGCCAAAGTCCATTTTGCAATGGCAGAAGTCCATATTTGGGCTCTGGGCATATCAGGGGGTGGTTAAGTGCAAGAAGTAATTTGCATCTTTAGCAGCATTCTGTTCCTAAGGTAGGAAAACCTGGAACCAAGAGGTGGTACCCTCCCTTTTTATGTGTTTTCCCCAGCAGAGGATGGTACTTCCCCATAAAGCTTGGGAAAACCTGGCCAACATTGTTAACTGTTACCTTCCAGAGGGTACCACCTCAGCAGGATAAGCACAACTAAACAGTGCAATCAACTTAAGACACTGAATGTAAGACACACAGATTTACATAGAAATGCAAAGTCATCAAATCCGCAATAGTCAAAAACATATTAACCGCTTTTTCCGTCCGCCCTATAGCAGAAATACTACTACAGGGTGGCATGGGTGCGCAAAATCACACACACACACATATATATATATATATATATGATTTTGCATTTCCGGGTAGGGAAAAAAACTTGTGTGCCGCCATTCGCAGCCATGGCTGTCAATCACCAGGTCCCAGCCAGTGATTACTTGCCGGCGACTGGGGATTTCCAAAGATCTCCGACGGGGAGGAGGACTGTATTGTTTACTAACAGTCCTCCTCCCTGTCAGTTTGGGCACAGTGCTCTGGATGGCTGTGCACAGCACAGCCATCCACAGCAGTGTGATTACAGTAAAGCACCCTAGTAAAACACTCCCTGCACACAGTTAACCCTTTGATCGTCCCTCATGTTAACCCCTTCCTGCCCAGTGTCATTAATACAGTGTCAGTGCTTTTTTTAGCACTGAACACTGTATTGGTGTCACTGAAGATGTCAGTGACACCAAGCCAGTTCCCCCCAGTGTCAGAATGTCTGACGCAGTCCCACAGTCCGGCTATAAGTCGCTGATCGCTGCCATTACTTGTAAAAATACAAAATAAAATTAAAATTCCAGTACATATACCGCCATTTGTAAACGCTATAACTTTCACGTAAAAATCAATTAATTTACATGTAGGAGACATGTAGGAGCATACATTTTAGTGTAAATTTATAACAAAATTTGATTTTTTACATTTTTTTTACTGGACATGTTTAATAGCAAATAGTCAAAAGTATTTTTTTTTTCTCAAAATTATTGGTCTTTTTTTTTTTTTTTTTATAGCTCAAAAAATAAAAACCGCACAGGCGATTAAATACCATCAAAACAAAACTCAATTCATGGCAAAAAAAGGACATAAATTTAATTTGGGTGCATTGTTGCATGACCACGCAATTGTCAGTTAAAGTAACACATCGCCGTAACGCAAAAAAATGGCCTGGTCAGGAAGGGGGGTAAATCCTCAAGAGGGCCATTGGCTAAAAAATTATACAATGCAATAAAGCCTTTAGAAGCACCTGCTTACATGTCACCACATATCTTTTTCCAATGATTCTATGTAACACTTTGCTACCGACTTTGCTAAGTGGATCCTAGACAACAAAGGAATAATAGCATGCTCACAAAATGAAATTCACTGTTAGCAGACTACAGATGCACAATAACATACAATGGAGCTAGGGCTGTAGTGCCCATGAGGCCAATTGAGAAGCCTGCCTCAGGTGGCACTCATGGGGGGGGACAGCAATGAGGATAAAGTGTTCATACACTTACACTCCATCCTTAGTACAGCTCAGTAACAGTGAAGATGCTAAAGCCAAGGTGCAGGAGGAAGGACCCTGCCTGGTCAAGCACCTTCAGTTACATGGAGTGTCCACCTCACAGCATTGGTGACATGGCTTATAGAGAACCCAGGGATGTCCCCTTTCCATTTAATTTTTATTTTAACACTAAAAAAAAAAAAAATAAATAATAACTTATAGCTGCTGTTTAGCACTCAATTACCATGCATTCCCTGACATATGTGTGAACCCAGGCTTAAGGTCTTTCATGGAAAAATCTTGCTTGCCTATTGAGTCAATTCAATCACCAAGATCAAGTTCTGAATTTACTTCCAAATAAAAACATTGTTGCACTTTTAACAAGAAACTGCCAGAAAACTGACATTGGTGTAAATGTACAGTACTTGTATGGTTTGGTTTGTCTATACTTTCCTCAACTGTAAATGTCAATTCTGCAATGCATTACACTTACATCACAGGTCAAGCTTCACCCTAATTTCTTTCAGCATATAGATGGTACGTTGTAATAGCCCAATTTAATATATTCTTCACAGCTGGCATTTTGCTTTTTTTCAAATCTGATTCATCCATCAACATACAGAGCAAAACACAAACACATGTAAAAGGCTCAGTGATGTTTGAATATCAGGTTACGGAGTCAAAGGCCCTAGTTGTAATTACTTAAGTCTAGAAATGATTTTCTTTCTTCTGTAAAATAGTCAAACTTAAGTAAGATAGATATAATTTGTAGGAGGGGAATAGTAGAGATGAGGGAGGGACAGATTATTTGTTTTAGTAATAGGTGACAGTAAGATTTAGATTTGTTCTAGAAATGAAAATGTCAATTTCTGGGTCCCTAAAAGTAAAGTTTTTTTTTCCTCTTCTTTGATCCTTTCATCTGAATTGTTCTATATTTTATACATGCACTGATATGTTATGACTTCCTATGCAATCTTTAATATTGTATACTTAAAATATATGTGAACTGTCACCTTGTAGCAGAAATGAAAGGCAGTATATATACAGCGGGTAAAATAAGTATTGAACACATCCCCATTTTTCTCAGTAAATATATTTCTAAAGGCGCTACTGACATGTAATTTTCAGCACGTCAGTAACAATCCATGTAATCCATACATACAAATAAACCAACACAAATAAGTTCAGAAATTAAGTTATGTGTAATAAAATAGAATGACACAGGGAAAAAATATCGAACACGCTAATTGAAATTAATATAATACTTTATAAAATCCTTTGTTGGTAATGACAGCATCAAGACGCCTCCTGTATGGAGAAACTAGTCGCATGCATTGCTCAGGTGTGATTTTGGCCCATTCTTCCACATACACAGTCTTCAAATCTTGAAGGTTCTGTGGACCGCTTCTATCAACTCTGACCTTTAGTTCTTTCCATAGATTTTTTATTGGATTCAAGTCAGGTGATTGGCTGGGACATTCTAGCAGCATTATTTTCTTTCTTTGAAACCAATTGAGAGTTTACTTGGCTTTGTGTTTGAGATCATTGTCTTGCTGAAATTTCCACCCTCGTTTCATTATTATCATCCTGGTAGATGGCAGCAGATTGTTATCAAGAATGTCTTGGTACATTTTTCCATTCATCCTTCCTTCAATGATATGAAGTTTGCCAGTACCATATGCTGAAAACCAGCCCCACACCATGATGTTCCCACCTCTAAACTTCACTGTTGCTATGGTGTTTTTGGAGTGATGTGCAGTGCTATTTGACCTCCAAACATGGTGTATATTAAGGCATCCAAACAGTTCAATTTTGATGTCATCTGACCAGACTATATTCTCCCAGTATTCCACAGGCTTGTATAAATCTGCTGCAAACTTTAAACTAGCTGCAACGTGCTTTTTCTTTAGCAATGGAGTCTTGCGTGGTGAGCATGCATACAGGCCATGGCGGTTGAGTGCATTATTTATTATTTTCTCTGAAACAATTGTACCTGCTAATGCTTAGTCTTTCTGAAGCTTTCTATGAGTGGTCCTTGGCTCTTGGACAACTCTTCTGATAATTCTTTTCACTCCTCTATCAGAAATCTTGTGAGGAGTACCTGGTTGTAGCTGGTTTATGGTGAAATTATGTTCTTTCCACTTCCGGATTATCGCCCCCCAACAGTGCTTACTAGAACATTCAGGAGTTTAGAATCCTTCTGTAACCAATGCCATCAGTATATTTTGCAACAATAAAGTTGCAAAGGTCTTGAAAGAGCTCTTTTGCTTTTACCTATCATGACATGTTTCTTGTGTGACACCTTGTTAATGAGACACCGTTTTATAGGCCATCAGTTGAGACTGACTGAACCAGCTAATATTATTTGCACTGACAAGGGGCAGGATTGCTTTCTAATTACTGATCAATTTCAGCTAGTATCTTGGCTTTTTATGCCTTTTTGCACCTACCTCTCTTCATGTGTTCAATATTTTTTCCCTGGGTCATTCCATTTTATTACACATAACTTAATTTCTGGACATATTTGTTTTGGTTTCTTTGTATGTATGGATTGCTTGGGTTGTTACCGACGTGGTGAAAATTTATATAGGTATATTTACAAAAAATTATAAATACCTTTTACCCTTTTTTATAAGTGATCACATACCCTCTGTTCTCAGCTGCATAAAGAGAGCTGGGGGAGGAGATGTGAATGGCTGTGCAGGGAAGGTTGGGGGGAGGAGGGGCAGTGTCAGGACAGTTCTGATCATTGGTGGAGAGCAGGTTCAGTCCCCAGCACAGTCAGAAAACTGACCATGCTATGCTCTCATGTCTAGAGCGCTGCTGCACATGAATCCGCCTAAACCCAAAAGTGATTAAATAGTCTCTTTTCTGCCCTCTGGCCCCTACTGAACACAGGGGGCATGGGGATTTTTTTGTAACAGCTGCAGAGTGGTGATTACCACATTGGTGCACAGAATTTGGGAGTCCCCTCTCTACTTCTGCCCCTCTCTGCTGAGCTGGCAGAGCCCGGTACAGGAGGGCTGGAGGTATTCCCTTATCCAGCAGCCCTGAGTGCTGCAAACCTTAGCACTTACCATGTTTGTAGGTCTGCTTTTCTTTTAAGCTTGTGGTTGCCCTCAGTTCCCTCTTTTTAAAATGGCCCCCTTCCCTGCATGCTGTTTTCACATGGCTCGATCCCTTTACAAGGTCCCATGGAACCACCTTAGAAACAGATCAACCTCCATCCCCTCTGCACCTGCTCTGTCCCTTCTGAAGAGTGCATGTAAAGTACACAGGGTTTCACACTCCCCTATTTAGGATTTCGAGAACTTCTTGGAGTCAGTGGCCGTGAATAGCATAGTATGTAAGTCTTAGAGCACAAATGAAAGCAAAATATTTTCTGGGTAATGTTTCTTCTCTGCTTCCCTAAAAGGCAACGAAAAACATATGCAGTACATCTCTGCAATACACACACATTTCCCCGTGTTTTATCCTTATAATACCCTGCAAGTACACAGAAATATCTCTTGATCTATCAGAAATGATCTGGATGATGTGATTGACAATGGATTTACATCATGGGACTATTTTTAAATACTTTTCAAAGCACGTGGAATTTACTTTTTGTGAAATAAGTAGGGGTACTATATATCACTTATTCATTCATGTGGGGGGAAAGGGGTGGATATTTGGGCACACTTGTTTTAAAGGCGACTTCCAGATTCCAATAAGCCCCCCACCTGCAGACCCCCACAACCCCCAGACCAGAGTTGTGCTCAGGAAGTGGCCCTTGCCGTCATCAACATGAGGACAAGCGGCTTTACTAGGGAAGTCTCTCTGGAAAGGTACCTTCCCCATGTTTAGTATATGTGACCTGATATAATTCGATCAGGGGGACCCATGCCATTTTTTTGGTATTTTTTATGGATAGTCCCCTTTGATGTCCATACCAGACCCTCATTAAGGATAAGTCTCTGTTATGTATTTTTAGGGGAAACCCCACACCTCTTGGTTTACAAACAGAGTTGAGCAGCCAGGAGCTGTCATTTACCAGCAATTTAAATTGCATTTAATTTTTTTATTTATACAGTGATACCTCTGTTCACAAACGCTTCTGTTCACAACAGCTCAGTTTTGCGAACAGAAGAGTTTGCAAAAATTAGCTTCAGTTTGCGAACTCCGCTTCGGTTGACGAACACGAGTCGTGGCCATCT